TTAGAAAACAACCTGAATATTGGAATACCTACCACCAAGCTAAAAGAACTCCTACTCAGATGCACCCTAAATGTCCAGTTCACATTCAATGGGAACTTCTATAGACAACAAGTTGGCGTGGCGATGGGATCACCTTTGGGTCAGGTGCTGGCTGATATTTTTATGGCAAGTTTGGAAAACGGTCCGCTGAAAGCAACCATCGACAAATTCTTCTTATACAAAAGGTATGTTGATGATACTTTCGTCATCTGCGATAACAATTGTGATCAAAATATTGTTCTTCAAGTTTTCAATAGTTGCCACCCCGCCATCAAATTTACAATCGAAGTAGAAACCAAAGAGACAATCTCCTTTCTAGACGTTCGTTTAGGTAAGAAGACCGATGGTACCTTGAACAGATCAGTACACAGAAAACCTACGTGGGACGGTCAGTTGATAAACTTCTACAGTTGGGTACCAATTAGTCGCAAGCGAAACTTGATAATATCTCTGGTGACTAGAATCCGAAAAATCTGCAGTCCTGAATCAATAGAGGAAGAGATCGCCCTCTTGAGGAAGACACTGCTCGACAACGGCTACCCACCTCGTTTTATAGACAAGCATATCAAGCCTAAGACTTACAAAGAACAACCCATTACAGTGCAGAAGAAGATGGTCTACATGAATGTACTCTTCAAAGGTGACCTTCTGGCTGACACCTTGAAGAAGAGGATATCTACTGCTCTCAGAAGGACATTCTTCGCTGCCACACTACGACTGATATTTTCCTCCCGGCCATTGTTCTCCAACTACTCTAAAGATAAACTATCGCATTTGATCACTTCCTTGTGTATCTACCAATTCACCTGCTCTTGCGGAGCGAGGTATATAGGTCGTTCGATGCGAGTTTTATCTAAAAGAGTTCAAGAACACTATCCCGCCTGGCTACGGAAAGGTAACAACGGAGCAATAATGAGCGCCATTATTGAGCATATACTCAACACTGGTCATTCGATTTGCAAGGAGAAGTCGTTCAAAGTCATCTATAAAGTCAAAAGAAGCCTTCCAAAATCGACAAGCTTCCATATACTTTGTATTGCCGAAGCCTTAGCGATTTGGATAGAAAAGCCTGATTTATGCACACGGAAGAAACTTCTCCACCCCGTCCTACTACCATGGGTTTAATTTCAAGTTTATCTGTCATCAACATTTTGTTATCAATTTTTTTTTGCAATTTTCGTATAATAATTTTTGGTAACTAACCCATTCAATCTTTTCACCTTTTATCTAGTTTATTTTCATAATTGTCTCCATACTCCTTCACTAACATCTAATCTTTCTAAACATGTCTATATTACGTAACCCTACACACATCTTACCAATCTTCAACCCACTTAGTTACAACTTTGATTATTCATCACACATTAATTTCTTAATCATTTTGATGATGTAATCAACAACCTACACCAACTGTTATTTTGATTTTGACAAACCTAATGTACACACACACACACAAAATTAATTGTATATATTTGCGACTGTACAGCTAAGTGAATGAATTCGCCGAAAAGAAACTCTTCGCTGAACTAATTTGTTCTTCCGAGACTAATGTGAAGTATAAATGCATGTTATCCATGGATGTATCGTCACTATTCACTAATGTACCACTAATGGAAACAGTAGATTATATCTGTCAAGAAATCGCTGAAAGGCAATTAGACTTAGGAATCCCCTTGTGTAGCCTCTTCTTAAATGCACAATGAATGTTCACTTTGTCTTCAATAATTCATACTATCGACAAGTAGATGGAATAGCTATGGGTTCACCATTAGGCCCAATTTTAGCTGACTTCTTTCTCGCAAAACGTGAAAACGGGAAATTAAAGGACATCATCAAAGAGTTTGATATGTATTACCGATATGTAGATGATACATTTATCTTAGCTGATGAGAATGTTAACATAGATGAATTGTTGCTGAAATTCAACAACATCCATCCTTCGCTTACCTTTACTTGTGAAGAGGAGCAGGAGAATGAACTACATTTCCTGGATGTCTTGCTAATTAGGAGAGAAGATGGGTCACTTGGGAGAAGCGTGTATAGAAAAAGCACTTTCACAGGGCAATACACACACTTCCTTAGTTACGTGCCCATTAAATATAAAAGGAATGTTGTAAAATGTCTTGCGAGCAGAGCAAGAAAGATATGTACAGATGACCTCTTACAAAAGGAATTTGAATATATTCACGATTCCTTGACGGAGATGGGCTATCCGAGTAGCTTCATAAAGAAACATATGAAAATATCGGAGAAAAAACCGGAGACTCTGACTGCACGTAAGAAACCTCTATTTATTAAGTTACAATTTAATGGTGACTTATCAAGTGAGATTCTATTCCAAAGACTTTCAAGGAGTATACGAAGAACATTTTATGCAGCACACCTATGTTTGTCATTCTCTAGCCGACGAATGATTGGGACGCAAATGAAGGATAAGCTTGATAGTTTCGTCACATCTATGTGTATTTGTCAATTCAACTGCACCTGCGGTGACAGTTATATTGGGCGTACTACTAGACAGCTTAGCCAACATGTTAGTGAGCATCTCCCATCGTGGTTCGGCAAAGGACAGACAAAAACAATCCGTAGCTCAATTTTGTCACACTTAATTGATAGTGGTCATGTAATCGAGAGAACGAGAGCCTTCAGAGTAAATCATCCTGTCCCACCAAATCTTTCCAATAGACTTCGTATTCGTCTACTACACACAGCTGAGGCGATAGGCATTCGAACTATTAAACCTAAACTATGTATTCAAAAAAAGTTCGTACAGCCATTATCCCTCCCTTGGCCTATTAAGACATAACCAACTAATCACTTCTACACCACCCTTTGTTTATATTTTCAACCCCTTTCTTATCATCCCTTAATCTTATCTTCATTATAAACGTGTTTCATTTCCTTCCCTTACAGTCTAACATTACTTAATCGGTTCATTTGTTTTTACTAGCCTTTATCGACTACTTCCACCTGAACAGTTGTTTGTTTAATCATGCTGTTTTTCATTATTCGTGTTATCACAGATTGCCTCACATTTTCATCCTTATTATTGATAAGACCATTATTATTATTATTACTATTATTATGATTATTATCATTACTACTATTATGACGAATTGCACAATTTACATTCACCATCGTATTATCCTATAGACAAAACACCATGATTGGTTTATATTTGAATTTTTATTTGTAAAGTTATTTGTATATTAGAGTTAAGCCTGATGAGATCTAATTGAAAGCACAATATTGTTCGCTTAAATGTGTTGTTCTAAATTTTACTATGGGAATATTTAATATAATTTGTTCTTATTTCAATAGAAAAAAACGAATATTCTGATTGGTTGGTGATTCGATCAAGGTGGTAAGGAAAAAGATGATGAAGTTTTACAGTCGTCTGATCACATGTAAGCCATTTTTAAATCACAGAAAACGAAGTGGTGTGTATTTAATTATTAGATAATTTCATGAGAGAGAGGCGAAACAAATAACAACCACACAACGACAGTAGGCGAAAAAACAATTCAACTCTCATTGCATCTGTTTCTATAGATTACGAAGGAAATAAATATAAGAGAAAGGCAAAAAAAAGACAAAATAAAAATAAAAAGGTAATAGTAATGATAGTTACTCTCAGTATCAAAAGTAGAAAAAAAAGGAGAAAAGATTCGTGTGAAGAAAAGCATAAAGTACAGTATAGTATATTATAGCAGAGACCTAAGGAATTTATCTAACTGTATATACAACGTGAAAAAAAGACCAAAAACAAAAAAACACTGTTGACGAATCAAGAAATCGAAATAAGGCAAAGGTTTTAACCAGGTAACTGTCGATATGAGTATTTTCAAAATTTGTTTAAATCTTCAGATGTCAAAGCTGGAATTTCTATTTCTACAAAAGAAACAACCCAAAAAGCAAAAGAGAAAAAAAATCATCAGATAAAGAAAGGCAAAATGTGATAAATATTAGAAATTCAAGTTTAATGGACGGTGACCAACAGTGGAATTGACGGTGGCTCAAGTGGATAACACTTTGACGGTTGAAACAATGATTACTTAGGTTTGGAGTCTCACTGGAAACACCGTCGCTACCACTACCACTCATTGGGGAATGCAGGTGTATCTAGAAGATGAGTGCCAAATAGGACGAAACAGGTGCAGGTCTTAGATTTCAATGGAAGCAACCATTCATTAAAATGACGTTACTAACTAATCTTCAAACATCGTCGAAGCATTCCCCACCCCCCACCCCCCGGTACTAGTAAGAGCCGATATGTCAACAGAAGACACTCAGTATTTCAGTTCAACCAATCAATCAATCAATTAATGGGAAAATCAAAATTGACTGGGAAACAAGTATGGTATAGCGGTTAATCACGGTATAGAATAATCAGTGTCAAAAAGACGAAATTATTGGTGAGTCAATTAAAAACCTTATTACTGCACAAGAAGCCAACATCTCAACCTCAGACCGAGCACTTTGGTCCAATCAGTCAACAGAAAAATCTAAAATTCAATTGAACAACTAATATGACCTGTTGCACAACAGGTGGCTCTCGTGGCCCAAGTGGTCTAGTGGATAACGCTTTTTGGCGTTTGAAACTATGGGCACAGGGTTCGACGCTCACTCACTAACAGGAAAATGCAGGTACATCCAGGCACCAACGAGTCCTAAATAGGACGAAATGCGCATCGTGGTTGGATTCCACTGCTAGTCACCATCCACCAATTAGCTTCTAATTAAATGCCCAGACATCGTCGAAGCATCTGCACAAGAAGCCGACATGTCAACTTGACACCAAGCACTTCGGTCCAACCAATCGACAGGAAAATCTAAAATTCAATTAAACCTCATTACTCTGTTTAAAATTTTACTTGTTCAAATACTCGAATGATTTGAGAATTTGAAATGAATAGGAAAAATTGGACATCCTGAATATTTTAGATGGCTAGACGAAAGAACAATTAAGAGTGATCAATCAGTTTGCAAGTAGTAGACGTAAAGTGGACAATATTATTATCACTTCAGCAGTTTTGTTCCTATTAGGTGAAAGCATTTCCTGGTGAAATGTTTGCTTTCAAGGTCTCATAAAATATTCCCACAAGCGATAAATTCATGGATGAGCTACAGTGTATACACATTCAGTGTTTTCTTTCGACTAACTGACATTGTGCGGCGGTGGCATAGCGGTTAGGACGCTCGCCGACCATGCAAATGGTCCAGGGCTCAATCCCCGGCCGACACCGCACTCCTTTACCTCGCTAACCCAGTAATAAAAAAGCTGGTAAAGAGGAAAGGTTGGGCATGAGGCTAGCAACCCCATCCTGTAAAAATGAACACCACTGCTACAGAAACTTCAAGCCTCTAGCTTGAAGCCCTATGTTCCACTGGGAACGTGAAGGCATAAAAAAAAATTGATATCCTGAAAACTTCGTTGTATGTCTTAGTAAAATAAGGGAGACTTTTTCCATACCAAAGAATGACGGATACCTTGCAGTTGACAGACCAAAAGCTTCAGTTAACTATAAAATGCACATTCTACGCCATGTCACTTTTCCTTACACCTCGAACATATTCAATTCCTTTGCTTACAATTAAAAAACGAAATTCTATGGACTCTATTGTACACTGTTTACCTGCAAGTTTGGGAACACATAGACAGGTAGATATCTTGAGTTTGCACAATCCCACCGTACTTAATTTGGAATTGTAGCTTAAAAATCCCCACTGAGTCATATGAAAAGGAGAAGACGTTCAGTGAAAAGACTCTTTTCGGCAAATTCATTCACATAGCTGTGCAATCGCATTTATATACAATTATTTTGCGTGTGTGTGTGTGTACATGAGGTTTGTCAAGTTTTGATAATTAATTAGGTAGTACAAGAATGATCTAATATAGAAATAGAATTGAACATCCAGGGTACATCTCAGTAGGAGTTCTTTAAGACGCTCAGTGGGTATACCGATGTTTATTCCCTTTGAGTGAATAAGTTCGCATATGTAGCATATTGTTTCAGTCAGTGGGACATTTGTGAGCAATGATGTGACACTTAATGAAATCATGGTCTTGTTGGATACGTTGACGTTTTCTACTGAGTCGATAAAATCGAATGAATCTCAAACTGTGTAGCAGGAAACTTGTCTTCTCATTGGTTCGCAAAAGTCACTCATGCTTAGCGTCCCGAAAAAGCTCCTCTACATGAACCTTCAATTCGATGGAGATTCATCTGCGGAAAACACTGAAAAATCGACTGTCCCGCTCATTTAAGAAAACCTTCTTCGCAGCTGAACTACGATTAACCTTCACCACAAAACCTATGATTCGTATGAACGTGAAGGATGAACTACCACTGCTGGCCTCATCAGTGTGTATCTACCAATTCACCTGCTCGTGTGGAGCCAGGTATATCAGCCATTTCCAGCGTTCGGTTTCCAAACATATCACCGAACACTTACCAGAATGGTTTTACAAAGGAGAAAATCGATGCCCCCGCGGTTCCATCTTCGAACATCTGATAGAATCCGGACACCAAGCTACACCGCAAGCAAACTTCAAAATCGTCTACACAGTAAGAAGTAGTCTTCCTAAAGGTGTACGAATCAGACTTCTTCAAACTGCAGAAGCAATGTTAAATCACTTGCTAAGCCCTCAACTCTGCATACAGAAGAAGTTCGTTCAATCACTATACTTGCAATGGACGTAATCTATCTTAATACCTAACAGGTAAATTCTATTTCTTTCTGTCTCTTTATTAGTATCATTTCGTCTTTTTAATGGTAATATTTGACATTTTCAACTACCCTGCTCTATACTCCCACCCGATTTAATTTCTACATCTGATTACGACAGTTATTGACTTGACCAACGCTCAAATTCCAGTCATTTATGTTGCGTCATTCAATTTGTTTGCTTAATTTTAGTTCTAATTTGAATGGCATTATTCTCTACCCCACCTCTACTTAGTCTCTACCTGTATTGACCTCTTTGCTATCGTGACCTAAGTTGAAACATTTTAGTCAATTATATTACGTCATCTAACTTACTAACTCAATCTTACTTTAGTTGCTGTCTAATTAACCTTGTTTCTATATTAGATCATTCTTGTATTACCTAATTAATTATCTAAACTTGACAAACCTCATGTACACACACATGCACACAAAATATTTGTATATAAATGCGACTGTGAATGAATTCGCCGAAAAGAACGTCTTCTCTTTTTCATAATTTGGAACTGACTGGACACAACCGACAGCCAATTCTCAATAAATATCATCAACGGTAATGAATTTCGTGGACTATTAGTAATAAACATAGAGCTTACTTAGACAACTATTAGCTATTATGTGATGAATAGCACAACTACCAGCCAATATCACTGGTGAGTATTTGTTTCCACAACCGACCCCACCGGTCACGACTCCTCACTACAACTTTATTTTGGATTCGTCTATCACTCGAGAGCGTTGTTTTGCATGGATATGACTAATGGGCTGGTAAATTACTACCCAGTGGCTGAACGGCAAATGGGCTCGCGCTGGGTTTGTACTGTTGAAGAGTCCCAAACTGGGATGAAACAGTCCATTACCCCTTGGTTTTGAATGGTTCTCTAACAGAAGCTATTTTGTGATTAAACTTTAAATGCATCAAATCACTGGAAACCCAAATTTTTCAACCTATTCAAAAAACTAACATCACGAAAAACTGGTTACGAAGCAGTAACTAAAATCTAATCTTTGGTGTTTGTATTGACTGAACTGTATCAGTCAACATGGTGATCAAGTTAGGTGCACTTTAAAATGACGTTAGATGTTGCCAGAAGCTCTGTACTTAGGTTCCATGTTTTTTTATATTCCTTTACGTTCCCAGTGGAACATAGGGCTTCAAGCTAGAGGCTTGAAGTTTCTGTAGCAGTGGTGTTTATTTTTACGGGTTGGGGTTGCTAGCCTCATGCCCAACCTTTCCTCTTTATGAGCTTTTTTATTACTGGGTTAACGAGGTAAAGGAGTGCGGTGTCGGCCGGGGATCGAATCCCAGACCATGTGCAAGGTCGGTGAGCATTCTAACCGCTGTGCCACCGACGCAAAGGTTTCATGCATGCTGGTACTTATCTGTAGGGCATATTGGCAACCTCAGATGTCCAAACTCTCGTCACCCAGTGCTGCAGTTAGAGACGCTACCAATGAACTATTCGGACTATTCACAATTAATCTCCTGTTAAATAACAAAACCTTTGCAGTTGTAACATTTAACTCTAAGAACTTTAGATATCTACACATATCCTACGAAACATACTACTCACCAAATTGTGATTCTAATTCTTTTATCAGATACATTTCATCACTTGTTATAAAATTGACTGCTACACCTTCTTTGCCAAATCGACCTGATCTACCGATACGGTGTAAATACGTCTCCCAGTCAGCATTACCACTCCTTGTTGTCGGCATATTCCAGTTAATAATCAAATTCACCTGTGGAATATCCAAACCTAAAAAAGGTAGAAAGAATAACATGACAATAGAATAAAAATCATCATTGGGAAAATACTCGAACTACGCAATTGATTAAAAAAAAGTGTGAAGATATGACTGATTGGCTTAAACAGTCAGTTTTACACCAATGGGGGTCACGAATTCATCAGTCTTCTCACACAGTAAGTGTTACACTTAGCTTGGTATATATTCCAAGTAATTGAGCTTACTTAAACGACAAACCGTTCTAGGCACATCTGATTCTTGACTGATTAACTTACTTGTCTTACTTAAGATTATGTGTAAATTATGATGAGCAGTGGGATATCTCACATGATCTACAAGTGGCACTATTTAACAAAAACTAAACGATCCTGATTTTGATGTGGTTGTGTTCTCTGAGCTGGATAGTTAATTTGCGAAGCCTTCATCACCCTACTGGGTGACATCTTCAGCGCATACTTCAATTTCAAGGAAGTGAGCTTTCAGATTTCTCCACGAGTTTATTAATCATCTCTCCTGGTGACCTTGGACGTGATTGGTTGTTTTTGTGTGTTTCCACACCTTCTAGGTTACTTGTATTGTCACTCATTGTTTCTTTGACTTGAACTTTGACCCTTTGTGTGTGAGGTTTCTTTCTTATCGGTTGATAAATTTTGTCGATCTCGATGTGTCTATTGATTGATGATTCACTGGAATGCCAAGCTTCTAAAAATTCTCTAGAATTCTTGTTGTATCCTCTGTCTAATATCTGGACGCTGGTTGTCCCAGTCGAATTGATGTCCGTGGTTGTCTGTATGTAGTGATATGAGGGAGTGGATATCATGCCTTTTGACAGCTAGCTTATGTTCGTGGATGCAAAGACGAAGGGGACGTCCACTTTGGCCAATGTAGTGTTCTTCGCAGTTGATACAATCTATTTTGTAGATGATGTTGGTTTTATCTTCCTTCGCTGTTGAGTCTTTTGGTTGACATAGAATTGAGTGAAGTGACTTTGTTGGTTTGTGTACGACGTCAATTCCTAAAGGTTTGAAGAGTCTTGTAGTGATTTCTGAGATGTCCATTTGGTGGACACATGAGTCGAGATTACATCAGCCTATGTATTGAGAAATGTAGATCTAGTTATGAGACAAGTGACCTGTGCAACCTTAACCAACTTATATGTATATGCTTTCAAGATTTCATCATGAGCTGATATCGGTGAGAGAAGCATTGGAAAACCAGCAGAGGGTACTGGGCAGCAGTTCCGTCAATCTAGTTTAGGACTCTTTGGCAGTAAGCACTCACCGAGATTCGAACCAAGGATCTTCTGGTTACAAGGCTAGCGAGCTCGTAGACCATTTGGCTACTGGAGTTAGAACCCCAGTGGGTGCGTACTGTTGGAGAGTTTCAAACTAGGACGAGACAACTGTCCAGTACTCTCTGCTGTTTTTCCAATAGTTCTCCAACCGATTTCATCCCAGGACTATTCAAATCCCTGTAAACCAACAACTGAATGTTATACAGGCTTTCTTGAATATTGTATTATTTAATCTTCTCCAGTCATCTTCTACACTTTAAAAAAAAATAATTTCAGACTGTTTACAGCTGAGAAGTGTCAAAATACAAAATGTGTACATCTTTATACTGCAGACCATGTTCTACTTGCCTGAACATGAACAATTATAGTTACAATCAATATATTTGAATCATCATTCCTTTGAGTTTATAGAGCTTCAAACTCTCAGTTTTAAAGTTTCGTCTCAGTAGCCGTGATCTTGTTAGTGATGTTTTTACAGGAATGCGGTGGCTAGCCACACGGTTCCCCTCAACCTTCTCTTGTTAGCAAGGTTACTGCTGAACAAGGTGCGATTTAGGAGTGTGTAGGTCAGGACTCGAACCCAGAATAATAATTACTTTTCTATAGTTGTTAGGTTTGTAAGGATTAGTTTTGTTTCTTCTTACGAGTTGATCACGGATTGATATCAGTTAGAGAACCATTGAAAACCAGAGAGTACTGGATAGCTGTTTCATCCTAGTTTGGGAATCATCGGCAATATGCACCCACTGGGGTTCGAACTCAGGACCTTCCCTCAATGATCAGTCCATGAATTCTTACTTCAACCAATTCGTGATTTAGCGCGAAGAATTCATGGGCCATTGAATCGGGAAGGTCCTGCATTCGAACCCCAGTGGGTGCATACTGCCGATGATTCCCAAACTAGGATGAAACAGCTGTCCAGTACTCTCTGCTAGTTTTCAATCGTTCTCTAACTGATATCAATCCATGATCAACTCGTAAAAAATCATAATTACATTAATAATAATAATAATAATATGTGGAACAAATAACTAACCTCTTGAACAGATATTAGTAGTAATTAAAACTCTAAAACGTGATGAACGAAAATCTTCGATCACTTTTTCACGATCTGAAACATCCAAATCACCAGAAAGGATGAACACCTTATGCCCATCTAAATTCATTTTGCCATCTAACCAATACGCCTCTTTACGTGTCTAAAAAATGAAAAATAGAAGAGAAAATCAAGTTAGAAAAAAACTAATTAGAGACGAGGAATTGTTCTTTCACCAATTAATAAATGGAAAAGTAAGAATCATATAAGTGAGAACTAAGCAAACCACATAATGAGGCTGCTGACCAGAAAGAATAAACACCGAGGAACTCTGGAAACGATCTAACAAAGAACCTATCGTCTAAAAAATATGCAGAACGACATGGAGACGGATTGGATATACATTGAGGAGAGCGGTGAGTGACATTACATGCCCACGTCCTCGAGTGGAACCCAAATTGGAAACGACGAGTGGGGTGCTCTAGGGTGATGTAGAAAAAAATAAAGTCTGAGCAGGAAATAAAATCTTATTGGTAGTCATGGAGTCGGTTGGACGGAACAGCGGAGAAATGAGTGGAATAGAACGTACGTATCATTATTTTTCCCTTAGGTTCCGAGTGAAACATAGATTTTCTTAACAGCACGTCTTCATTTTGTCCTCCTATTTTCTGTAGTCCTCTCTAGCCGGCCCCACGGATACCTACAGTTTCCGATCTCCTCCATGTCACCCTCGGACGCCCCACTCATCGTTTTCACTTCGGCTTCTAAGTATAGAATAATAATAAGCATATCATAGTCACAGAAATAATTCAGTTAGCATTACTCTGTTAGTATAACTTGGACATTTGAAATCCAACATCCGGAAATTCAGAATTGATCATTACATAGTTACATCAGCACCTATCCCGAAAAGTCTAATGATGCTACACATACATGTTCCAAGATCAGTAAACTAAACAGGGTTCGAGCTTATTATTATAGAAAGTCAAGTAAATCATAAGTTAATATATCAAGTTAAATTTTCCCCCTCTCTCTCTCGATCAGTAGCTCACTGAGTAAGTTTTTTTCTTAGGCGAAAATCAATATGTGAGTCTTCCATCGAATAGCCTTCAGCTTTAAAGTGTTGATTTGTAAGGATTAGATTTGTTTTTCAAGTTTGACCACGGAATGACATCATTTAGAGAACCATTGAAAACTAGCCAGAGAGTACTGGATAGCTGTTTCGTCAGCCTAGTGTGGGAATCATCGACAGTACGCACCCACTGTGTTTTGAAACCAGGACCTTCCGGCTACAAGACAAGCTAGCTCATAGACCATTCAGCCACTGGGACCTGACTCCTCAATGGCCACCTCATGAATTCTAACTTCTACCAATTCGTGATTATTTAACGCGACCACCAATCAATGTCAATCCCAACTCGATGGACTTCACTGGTCACGACTGAATCGGGTCCCAGTGGCTGAATGGTATACCAGCTTGCCTTGTAACCGGAAGGTCCTGGTTTAAAAGCCCAGTTGGCGCATGCTGACGATGAGTCCCAGACTAGGGCGAAACAGCAGTTTTCACCTTACTTAACTCATTATTACTATTATTTTTATACTGTTACATTTTGATTCTCACATGAAATAGTTGACATGTATAACTAATGCAAAATTGATGGTTTCGTGTTAGAATGAGTGTGTGATAACTATTACTGCTCTTGTGTTTTATTGAATTTTTCAACAACAAAAAATACTCTGGAAAAGTTGAGGTTTGAGAAGACTGCTTAGGTGAGCTTTTCACTCACTTTACTTTACTTCGGTTATCTGCTACGGGAGGATGAGCCGGCTTCATGAACATCTCGAATCATCGCTGCCCAGGCGCGGTGATCTGATGCAAGGTTTTGCGACAGGGTTATCCAATTCTTGTTCCACAGACGGAGTCCGTAGACGGTTTGTAGCCCCAGGCACTCCATATCAGCCTTGACTGTACCAAGCCATGTCCACCCCTGCGACATCGCCACAGGGCGCGTCGCTTACCGGGAACGCCGTAGCATGGTGAGAGTCGTTTGTAAGAGAGTTCATGAAGTTTCATGGGAATTTGGTACGAGTGATGTCCCCAGAATCTCTCGGCCTTTTGTTTGAGAGTGCAGCTCTAGCCTTTACACAACCAAGTGTGACCTACAAGGCAGTAGGAGTGGAGTAGGGAGTCCACTATCCATTGGCAGCCGGTGACCGGAGTTCGGTTCATACGCCTTTTTGAATGGGGTCAGATATCCAGGACATCCAATAAGCCCTTTGTCCATACGTCTGCCGGTGAGCTCCAGTGAGCTTCATACGCCAGTCGTTGGAGATTTGGAATCAGGGTTTAGCCATCTCCCCTAGACTGTCATCCAATGGACGGTTAACCCGGTGAAGAGCGCCGGGCATCCGCCTTCGCCCTCTCACTTTGGTGGAAAACACCTCCGCCACGTGAAGGCAGTGAGTAGGACTTCCTCAGGAGAGGCTATGTAAGACGCCCGGTCATATGGGATCATTTCAAGAGGTGTGCGGAGGGGTGGCCAACCCGCAGCGCAAGGCACCCACCCCCGACCATCCTGAGGCTTTGGAGGCAGCAGTAAGTCATTGTGCCACAGCTCATATATAGCACACAAAAGTAGGTAAACACAAACAAACTTCAAGGGACTGTAATGACAGCAATGTACTGGTTGGTGACAAGAGTAAGTATATACAGAATAATGAGAATATCATAAATTTATGGAGTTGATAAAGCGTGAATACATTCACACGATCAAGATCATTGGTTATAAGTATAAAACTTGAGCACTGTGGTAGAGCGTAATGGGGCGATCAAGATCACTATCTAGTCGGTCTACAACTCCTTGACATGATTAAAATAGACAGTTAAAGACTTAATTGATTTGATGCCATACTTTGATTTCGATTCTAGGCACATCTCTAGCATGGCTGTAGGATTGTTACTGTGGTGGGAACTGTCTGCAAGCCAAAATTGTAGAGAACAATTGACGTCAATGTTCACGTCTCGAATCAGCATTATGAGAAAAAACAATAACAAAGCTTAACCTTCAGGAACTCACAACTCAGTCACAGTAGACTTAACGTGTGCAAATACGATTCGCAGATAAATGGCCTAACTTTCTAAGAAACGGCCACATAGGGATAACAGAATAACCGTGAGCAAGAAAAAAAACCAACTACAAGACGTTGCTTCTCTGCTAAAAATAACGAATAATAATGTACATTAAAAATCTATAAATACCTCTTGATTTTCTCAGTAAACGATCTGTTGCCAGACCCTTGTCTTCTGTCGTTACATTACGTGTTGCTCATCGCAGTGTCCCATCAAACACTGTCCCAGGAGGCAATTAAGGCATGGTTGTTTATAAAGGCATTCACAACAGCAAGGCATATTAGTCAAATGAGGGGAATCACGCAATGTCACGAACCAGCATGTAAGCTAGAGAATAATCGAAAATCACGGAACGCTGAACAACAGTTATTTCTCATTAAGTATGACAGTCAACTACAGGAGGAACGGATGAGGATGTCAAATCGAGAATCGGGAAGGCGAGAAACACATTCATCAACCTGAAAACAATCTGCAAATCTTCGTCACTCAGCCTGCATCAACAACAAAATGATTCGGATTTTCAATACAAACGTCAAGTCAGTCAGTTATTCTATACGGATGGATCAGAAACTTGGCGGCGGGTCACAAAGAATATTTCCAACAGCTAGTTGCACACCTTTATCAACAACTGTCTTCGTTCTATACTGAAGATCAGATGGCCGGAAAGAATCACCAACAAGAAACTATGGGAACAAACAAAACAAGAACCAATCGCCCAACAAATATGCAGGAGAAAGAAGTGGAGATGGATTGGACACTCGTTGAGGAGGCCGTTGAGTGACATCGAGCGTCAAGCCCTCGAGTGGAACCCGAAAGGGAAGCGGCGAGTGGGACGTCCAAGTGTGACATGGAGGAGATCGTGTGAAGAGGAACTGAAACAGTATGGATTGACATGGATGCAAGTGAAAAGTACAGCACAAGACAGAAGCAAGTGGAGACGTGCAGTTGAACCCTTTTTCCACTAGGAAGCCAAGGGAATAATAATAATAATAATCATGGCAGTCATTAGAAGTGTACAGCAACAATCCTGTCGGGGTTAATCTCGCAACGTAAACGTTAAGAGTTCGATTCTCCGGTGATATGCACTGATCTGCACTCACGAAGATGTCCCCAACGAGGACGAAACAACTGCCTAAACTTTCAACAGTTCTGTAAATTATGTCGAACCATGATGAATTCTACAATCCAATCAATAAATGATCAAATGCCTTTTCATACTGGTTTTATTTTCTCGGTTGATTTGAAAAACGAAACTAGAAATGTGATATTGATTCCTACTATTTTCTAGTAGTCAAATATCCATCGCTAAAATCAATCAGTCAAAATAAGAAATCAATAATTTTGTTTCATGAGTCAGTGCATGAGTTCACATCATTTGTCTACAATTTTTGTTCCAATTAACTGACTAGTAAATATATAAAATAAAATAAGCACTCGTGATGACCTTTTTTGTCAGCATAGTAACATGACATTTGAGAGCAGACTATCAAAGCATAGTAAAAACTTAAACAGATTGTCGTTGTAATTAGAATTTAATTGGTGGATGGTGACTAGCAGTGGAATCCAGGATAACGCGCATTTCGTCCTATTCGGGATTCGTCATCCGGATGTGCCACTCAGTCAGTGATGATGTTCCCACCGAGGCTCGAACCCAGTGCCCATAGTTTTAAACACCAAAGCGTTATCCACTAGACCCCTTGGGCCACGAGAGCCACTTCTTGTGAAACGGGAAAATCCAGAATTCAATGAAATAATTTATATGACCCGTTGCACCATCTACCAATTAAATTCTAATTACATGCCCAGACATCGTCGAAGCATCTGCGCAAGAAGCCAACATGTCAACCTGAGACTGAGCACTTCGGTCCAATCAATCGACGGGAAAATCTAGAATTCGATGAAATAAGATTGTCGTTATAGCAAGTAGACTAAAGGAAGAGAAAAGCAATCATTACCTCATATCTTTCCTTGTTTTGTGTAATGTTTCTATCCAATGATTTTGTATGAAAGTGAAATCTACAATTTGTAAATAA